GGGAGTTGTTGTGATGTATTTGAACTGTTTTCTCGACGAGGATTGCAATGGTCGGAGTGCAGAGGACTTTTCTACAGAACTTGAATCCAAACCTGAAGTGGTGCAAAGAAGATTCACTAAAGAGGCACACAGTAGCATCTGGTATAACTAGAGTGTGCAAGAACAACAAAGGAAGAGGTCAAGTTTAGAATTGTGTAGTGCGTACACTGATGATATTCAAGATGGATGGTTTGGAGCACCCTTTTATCTTACCTTTCCTCACACCATTTATCAATACAGCTCCATTCCAAGTCATGGCCGAGCAGATCCTCCTAGGTTTCTCCTGGTGTTCCCTTGCTTCACTAGCCCTGGTAGTTTTGACAAGCCAATCCAATTTCTTCAATCTGATCCTTTCATCATCCTCAAGTTTCTATCAATCTTCATTGTAATCATGTGTCACAAATCTCTAGAGTTCTTTCAGTCATACACATCACTTTATCTATAGAGCATTCTGATTGATGATATTAGTATTGCACATCTCTGCCTCCAGTGCAACTCCATGTTGAAACACTACAATGATCTGAACAGTTGTGTACTGTAGAAATAAAATCTTCAGAAATTCAAAAAGCTCCATACTGAAGCTTATTAATCATTTGCAAAAAACAGTGGTCATTGCAGGTACTAGAACAAAACTTGGTAACTAACTGGGTTTCTTCTACTAAAACTCCTGATCTACTGACCTCTACATAATACTACAAAGAAACAGAAACCAATAATAGAAAAGGATTGACAACTCAACATTTATATCCTGATACAGGGTGTCCCTGCACTTATTTAATTAATTATTCTGCTAGTGTTGGTCTAGAATACCTGAACTGGTTTCACTGCATCCAACTTTCAATTTTTACCACATCTTTTTCCATGTACAAACAGCTTCTAACAGCAATATAAATAGATCAATAAGTATAGAATAATGAACAATTTAGGAATTATAGAAAATAAACAAAAATTCAATTAGAAACCAAAGAGTGGATAACAATACCAAGTGCATTCTCAATTCAAGATATTTGAGTGATATGCAGATAATATTAATCTAGCTAACTTTATTGAATTCTCAACATGAAAATATATAATAAAGCAGGATCAATTAAGAACTAGATGATCATATTTTTGTTTGTTTGTTTGAAAGTAAAAATTTACACTATATAAAAGACAACCTTGCCGCAAGTGGAAAACCATTTGGATGTATTAAAGATCATGAAGTGTCTATAAATCTGAATACATATATATCCTATACATCAAAGTCAAAGATATTGAAATTCCCAGCTTCTACCAGGAGTAGAGAAGCACTTCAACAACATGCTAAAGAAATTTTTAAGATGAATGCCCCAAGGGATATGGATCCAAATGAGAATGTGAAAGTGACAACAACAGGTATAATAGCATGACATTATAATAAATCTAGAATGGTGCGAGACTTTGGAGCTCTCAATGATCATACTATAGCAGATAATCATACCAGGACTTGAATAAGTGAAGCACCATCACAATTACAAAATGCTAAATGTATTGAAGGTGTGGAGGAGATTCCATCAAAATGATATAGATCCAGAGAGCAAAAAACTTATGAGAACACTATTACATATGTGAGTTCATGAATATCAAAGAATGAAATTTGGTAAAAACAATGCCAAATCAAATTTCCAAAGAATGAGGGACTTTATGAATTCAATAAAGAATTGAGAGAAGAATGTTTTGATGACATATATAAATGACATCATGATCCTTTCTGAAGATTGGGAAGATCATTTAGTGAGAGTGGATGTAATACTGAAAAGAAAATGGATGTAATACTCATAAGAGTTAGAAACACAAATATGAAAATAACCATAATGGAATGCCAATTTGGGTTTCAAGAACTAAATGCTTTGGCCCATATAGTGTCAGGACTGACCATTTCTATTGACAGGAATGAAGTATAAACATTTGTATAAAAAGAACATATGCCACAAATTGTGCAAGAAATCAAATCAATCCTAGTATTGCAGGACATTTTACACAGTATATAAAATTTTGCAAAAATAAGTGGAACAATACAAAAGATATGCAGTCCTAACACTAGCTTTGAGATAGAAGTATATAGAGTAGCTGCATTTGATAAACTTGATTACATGCTGAGATCAGCACCTAGTTTTGACAGATCCAAATTCACCTTACCAATTATATGTACATGCATGCATAGCAGCACTATATATATAAAGTTCAAAATGTAGAGCATGTAAAATGAGAAAGAGTTGGAACACTGAATGATGATGAGAATAAAATAGGGAGCAATTAAACTAGAATGTTTATGTGTTACTGAATATGGATTATACTATTACTTAGATGGGTGTGAATTTGAATTAATAAATTCTTTAAATTGTTTAAAATAATTGTTGAATACAAATACACACTATGGGTACATCTTGAGATGGCCAAATTTCTTTTCAGGAATGGAGAAAAAGTGTGAAAATTGAATGTAGACAAAGGAAGAGACATAAGAATGCAGATGGTTTCTCAAAGAATAACCAATGAATAACACTTGGGATGGAGAAATAGAAATTAAAATAATGGTATATTCCCCAGAACCTGACTTGGAAGTAAAGCATAATGATAAGATTGAGAATTACCACATTAATGGAGTCCAATTCAGTGAAATATCAGAAGAATTTTTGGATGAAATTAGAAACAGTTATATTAACAACAAACAACTAGTAAGCTAGCAAGTTTAATGCAATCCAAATGTAAACAGCATAATATCAGATCTATATTGAAAGAACCTTGAAAATTCTCATTTGAAGAAGGGTAACTTTCTCCACTGGATGGTATATTGTTAAGCAAAACACAATATTCCAATGCTTCAGTCTTGAATGACTAGTCAAATTGTATTAATTTCTTCTTGAAAAAATGTCATGTGAATATTAGATCTGGCCATTTTTATTTTGACATGACCTCAGAGAGAATTAGAAAATTATCTTGATGGTCTGATTAAATTAAATAAACTAAAGCTTATTGTGAGAAATCTGACAAGTTTCAAAAGCTAGCAAAGATACAGGGAAGAGCTTTGGCTGAATGCAAGAAATAGAGGAAATTTTAAAAAGATGCAGTGAATTAAATAGGGATCTTGTTCAAGGCTTTATAGCATGGGGACCCAGTAACTACAATGAAATACTCGTAGTAGTAGGTGGATTACCCAAAAGATGTGGATTTCGAGTGTGTCACAAAGAAGGCACAACAGTGGATACAGTTTTATTATTTAGGAATACAATTTTTGTGACATAGGATTGCCTAGGTATATTACTTCAGAAAGAGACCCAAAATTCACATCTGCCTTTTGGACTAATTTATATGACATGTGTGGAAATGGATTGAAATTTTCCACAGCTAATCACCCACAGAAAGATGGATTGGCAGGTAAGACAATTAACATACAGCTTAATTCTGAGAATTTTTGCAAGATAGCAGAAAGTTTTGCATCTGAATGTGCCAAAAACTTAGTAGAATACAACATGGTAAGAATTGAGTAGAAGTATATTTGACAGGAGAATTGAAAACAACAACCATACATTAGCAGGGTTTATAATGGAACTTTTTACTTTTGAGTTTGATAAAATGCTCTTTCTGATAAACATTAAAGTAGCAAACTCAGCAGAACTCAGCACTACACAATGACTGAACCAATTGACTGGTGCACTGACTGCAGGTTGTCAAAGAACTTGATGGGCCTAGGCACTCAAGTCCACATAGGCTCAATAGCATTACTTTGACTTGTTTTGTAAAATACAATTTAACCAGTGTTGTAAGGACTTCTGAGTTTCACAACAGTTGCTTCTGGCAAATACAAATTGTGAAAGGAAGTGACAAAACAAAATTTATACTGAGAATAGGAAAACATAATAAACACAAAAAACTACCTGTAGTACTGTAATAAGTAATTAAAATAAATAAAATATTACAACCCAGAAAGATCAGGTAAAACAATAATGATACTATCCAATAAAAAAAAAAAAGAACAGTTAAATGAGAAAGACATACATGTGAAACAAAAATTGTTAAGAAAATATTGGATGGATAAGAAGAATCAAGTTCATCTAGGAAGATTTCACCTTTTTAGGGGTGGCAAATGTCAGGGGTCTACCTAAATAAACCCCTTCATGAAAGGAATAAGTAAGAATTAAAATGTATAAAATGTTAAAGACAGTGCATATGCAATCAACAGTGGAAAGAGAATATGCAAAGATAATATTGAATAAGTTAAATGCTGTGGCACAGCAGAAAATCATGAAAATCCTACCCCAATTGTTGGAGGGAGTATCTACTAGTTCCATAGAATTCCTTATCCCCAACAAAGAACATGACCACAAACCGGCCAACATTAGAGAAAGTTATTTAAAGAGGTAAGAGAAAGACAACTGATAGTTCTCTTTCTTCAGTGTGATTTATAATAAAGACTAAAACTACAAAGTTACTAGACCAAGAAACCCTTATAGCCGACTAGGAATAGCACTCGTTCGCACTTACCTCCAGTAAAGGCATTCACTACCTATTTTAGACGGCCCAAGTACTTCTTATCTTTTTACTTTGAGTATAAACTTTACGATTCATCCCCTCAACGATTACGACCTCCTCACGCTCTCATTACGACTGATACGACTGTTCCAAATCCTTGGTTTCACTGCCTGTTAACTTGAATTGTTAACTTTTCCCAACTCTGAGTTACCTCGAGATTGGTTGCCCCAGCATAAGCTGCCGGAAGACGCCGTAAGACTCATCGAGTATTCTCTGAGCCGTGCTTTGAACCATACACTGATAGCCCTTACCTCTCCATCACCTTCTCATCTTCTCTAAGTCTGGGTTATAGATACTACGCGCGACACCCGTAAGTATCCCAAACCTGACAAGCTCCCTTAGCACTTTCCATAGCGGAAGGGAAGCGAACCGAAATACCGTCAATACCCATTACACAAGGAGGATTGACATTCATGGCTGGAGTAGTGACAACCCACGCGGACATCGGTTTTACACCTTTCTTCGACAAGAATATTAGAGAACTCCGCTCTCCTCTTCCCCTGACCATATTCGACAAAGATTGGCAGGAGCGAGCCCTCACTTACCATGTAGAGAAGCGCACGAAATCAGACGACTCTAACAACGAGAAAATATCGAGATATTCCGGCCTCCCATACCCGAACGAATGGTCCCAGACGTACACGAGTTGGTCCATGAACCACAAAACCTTTCACGAACTCCTACGAGACGTATATGATTTATCGGTATTCGCCGGATGGATAACCATCCATAAACAGCACGTCGACAACCTACACAAGCACCATGGCTTCATGCCAGCGTTCAGGTATGACATGATGACTAGAGCAAACACCTTCTCACACCGGGTTTATGATCGAAACGGGACTGAGATGGTCCCGGACATCTCAAAGTTCAAAACGGACATCTGGCAAATATGCTACTCACAATCACAGAAGTTCCAGGAACTCGGATTCACCGACAATCCTTACGCTAAAGGCGGGATAAGGGAGAACTGGGACCCATTATCGGGAGAAGAGCGTAGAGGCAAAACGACCCAATCGAACGGCCAACAGTACCACACACCTAGCCACTACGGCAGCCAAGCCGATCGTCGAAACGAGAATTCCTACCCTTCCAGCTACGCGGAGATGCGAGGAGACGCTAGCTCCAGCAGGAACACAGGACACTCCAATTCAGGATTCCGCGGAGCTTCGAACAGGGGCAGAGGCGGCGGTCGCAGCAACTGGAGCGGACGAGGGAGCGACTCTGTCTCCGAGAAGAAGAAGAGCGGGTAAGAATATTTTTTTTTTTTTTTCTTTTCTTCCCACGATTTTTCCCTCAGCCACCATTTTACTCTACCCATCTATATTGTACATAAGAAAACAAGAGTCCCGTATAGGGCAGGTCCCTCCCCCTACCAAACCAATGTGTTACACAGAGACCAAGTGTCTGACACCATGTTTCTTGCTTTCCTCCTGTCTTTGTCCATGAATAACCTGAAATAAATAAAAAAAAAAAAAAAAAAAAAAAAGGATTACCAAGAGCCTCCTGGATTGGCCACTGCAGATAAAGTGTGAGATGAATATCCCTGAATGGGAGAAATCACTAACAGAAGCGAACTTAAGAAACGAGTACCAAGATGTACTCGACGGCTTCAAGTTTGGCTTTGACCAAGGCATCCCGCATCACTCAGTCGGTAATCTCAGATGGCTAACACCCGACAACCACGCATCAGCTAAGAGAAAATAGAGAAAAACATAGAAAAAGAAATAAACGCCGGAAGAATGTTTGGGCCGTTCTCACACGCGCAGGTCGCAACGGTATTCCCATTTTTTAGGTCAAGTCCAATGGGGCGGTAGTGAACGAGACGGCTCGGTCAGGCCGATAAACGACCTAAGCTACCCGAAAAACCGCAAAAATCAGCCATCAGTAAACTCCTTTGTGAACAAAGATGACTTTACGACGACCTGGGACGACTTCAACAAGGTCTCACGGTTTTTTAGGAACTTAGACGAACCGGTACAGCTGGCGTTATTTGACTGGGAAAAAGCGTACCGACAGATCCCGACAGCCATGGACCAATGGCAATACCTGATGGTCCAGGATTTCAACGGAAACTTACTCTTAGATACACGGATAACCTTTGGAGGAGTCGCCGGCTGCGGATCCTTTGGCCGGCCAGCCGACGCATGGAAAGACATCATGCTACATTACTTCGACCTGATTACCATATTCAGATGGGTAGACGACAACTTATTCGTCAAGAGTATCGACTGTCGAACAAGCATGGACGATATAGTCAAGAAATCGACCGACCTAGGAGTCCTTACGAACACCACAAAGAACTCCCCTTTTCGAGACGAACAAAAATTCATCGGATTCATTTGGAACGGCGTAGAAAAGACAGTGCGCCTACCGAAGGAAAAGATACTTAAACGGATATCTCAGGTCGAAGAGTTCTTAGAAATTGGACGACTGGCAACATACACGGACATAGAGATACTGGTAGGGCGACTAAACCACGTAACATACATACTGCCTCAACTCAGGTGCTATCTATGCGCGCTGTACGCCATGCTATGCGGATGGATATTCCGAGAACGCTCTAGACCTTTATCACCCGACGCTCTCCAAGACCTGTCGATTTGGAACGAAACTCTTAGAAGTTTTGACAAAACGAGGCTCATTAGGGCTCGAGGCGCAACAGAAATCGGCTGGGTAGGAGACGCCAGCACAAGTTTCGGCATCGGAGTCATCATCGGATCATTGTGGGCACAATTTAAGCTCAAAAAGGGATGGAGAAAGGTAGGCCAATCCGTTCGCGGAATTGCCTGGTTGGAAACAGTGGCGGTACGCTTAGGACTTATGATGCTGAAAGTGATAGGGTTCCAGAAAGGTAAAACATTCATTGTATGGACGGACAACACAACATCAGAAGGAGTAATCAAGCACAGGAAGTCCCATGACGAGTCAGTCAACTCGGAATGGAAGGTGATACAGAACTTCCTTATAGAGAACGACATTGACATCGTCGCAAAGAGAATCCCCTCAGCTCTAAACAGAGCAGACAAGTTGTCTAGAGGAATAAGAACAGATAGAATGGTGTACGACGAGATTGATGTAGAAGTTCCCCTAGACCTAAACGGTTCGTTGTTTCAGGTTTTAGGCGTCGAACTATAGCCGGGAAAGCCGACCCTGCAAATTGTATTAGTTGACAGACTGAAAACAAGTTATTACAAGATTGTATCATAGCACAGTGAAACTGTATTTTAGTTCCTTTTTTTTTTCTCTATAAAATGCAAAAAAAAAAAAAAAAAAAAAGACCCAAAAGAGGAAGAAGAGGAAAATAAATGCGCAAACGGAAGCGGGTATATATAAGACCCAAGAATGGGGAAGGACCAAAACATTATGGATCTCTCCAAGATACAACATTTCACTTCAACCGGCACAAGACAAGTAAACATCAATTGGAAACTCCGGCATCTATTAGATGCATGGAGCTGGTCAACAGTCCTCAGCTACAATGCAGGGGTAAAGAAATTTTTGAAATTTCAATCAGAAACAGGAAACCCGGTTTTCAATCTACCAGCAACCTCTCAAGATCTCTACGAATTCTGTCTATGGGCAGGCAGAACATCGATGCGCGGAGCGGATGCAATCACCTCGGTCACCCTAACGAAGTATTTATTTGCCATCCAAGCATGGCACAATTTTCATGGTTTCGCATACCCCATAGACTTGAAGGCACAAATAAACCTAATCTTGAAAGCCTGCGCGAAGAAAGATGCCGAATTTAAGCTGAGATCAGAAAAAACAGCTCTACACCTATGCCAGCTGAAAAAGATAGTCGACCGGTTAAATATGGGGGATGAATCTGATAGAGCCACGGCGGATCTATCACT